CTATCCTTTTTATAAAAGTGTCCATACTTTTTCACTGTGGAAAACATTAATTTAAGGTTATCTTTTGAGTGAGTTTAAGATATTAATTTAGTAATTATAGGTGTCTAATGATTTATTTTTTACGTTACGATATATTATTATTAAATTAAAAATTCTAAATATTATTTTATAAAATATCAAAACAATCAAATAATTTTTTGTGCAAATAAAATTATTAAATCAAATTACTTTATTCCAACCATGTGACAAGTGTGACAACTCCATCAACTCACAACTCAGCTTTGAACTCAATCAATATGTCTTTTAGCTTGATGGTTCTTAAAGCATGTTACTTGAATAGTATGAATCAATATGCAATTTTCATGTTCAATTTAACACTGCATTTCAAATTCATTTCATATGTAATTGGAGTTGAATTTAAATTTCAATTTGAGTTTGAATTTCAATATATATTTCGGCTCCACTATAAATATTAGCCCAAGCCAATATGCATGTTATCATTGATTATTCCTAATTTCCATTGTTTTTTTCCAACGTTTAAACGCGAGGGAAATCCCGACCATTGTATTTTTTGGTCAACTTTAAAGCGTCAGAAACGTTTCGGGCGTATGATCTGGGTGGTAAACAAATAGCAACTAAAATCATAAGTCCGAAATGCTTCTGAGTATCACCCAAATCATAAGTCTGAAATACTTCCGATGCTCATCAAATCCAAAGCTCATATGGTGCCAAGCAAAAGGAAATCAAAATTCAATCTCATATGATGCCAAGCAAAAAGAAATCAAAATCTACAACTTGAGTTTGAACATTGATATGATATATTCAGTTGTTATCATGTTGGGATTTTCTCGTTTTTGATTGCTTGGATAGTTGTTCTCTTGCTTCTTCAAGTGTCCTTAGCTTGTAATTTATAGCTTGGAATGTGTTTGATGTTGTATATATTATTATTAAATTAAAAACAATAAACATATATTACATATTTATTATTATCTTTGGTTAATGTTGTTAAATTTAAATTATAAATATTATTTTATAAAATATCAAAACAATCAAATAATTTTTTGTGTAAATGAAATTATTAAATTAATATTGTAGGTGGAAAATATGAAACACTGTTAAAAAATTGAAACATAAATTACATAACTTTTAAAAAAAGTATCGATCCTTTTTATAAAAAGTATGGACACTTTCAATATAATAGGTAAACATATGATGTAATAGGTAGCGCTTATATAATGTAATAGGTATCGTTTATATAATGTAATAGGTAGTGGTTATATTGTAAAGTGTCTATCCTTTTATAAAAGTGTCCATACTTTTTTCACTGTGGAAAACATTAATTTAAGGTTATCTTTTGAGTGAGTTTTAAGATATTAATTTAGTAATTATAGGCGTCTAATGATTTATTTTTTACGTTACGATATATATTATTATTAAATTAAAAATTCTAAATAATATTTTATAAAATATCAAATAATCAAATAATTTTTTGTGCAAATGAAATTATTAAATTAATATTGTAGGTGGAAAACATGAAACAATATTAAAAAAAATTGAAACATAAATTACATAACTTTAAAAGAAGTATCGATCCTTTTTATAAAAAGTATGGACACTTTCAATATAATATAATGTAATAGGTAAATTTGCAATACTATCGGTATAAATATACTGGATTACTTATAAAATAGGTAAATATAAGCGCTACCTATTACATTATATAAGCGCTACCTAGTATGTTATTGTACTTTATAATATTTCCGGTTAAATAATATAACATAACCGGTATAAATTTTAACCGGTCAATTGTTTAACCGATCACGCCGTATATTAACCGTTTTTTAGGCGCTGCACCGCAGAACTACCCAAACAATCCACTTTCTATCAAAAAAAAATATGCAATATAAAAATATAATAAAAATCAATACGGACACATAATTATGCACCCAACATTCATATTGAAATTAGTAAAATATAAGTAGGTCGTATGACGATGGTTTGGTCCCTACACATACAATTGTCGAAGGGTCGTGGCACGTGTTACCAATTCCATAGTTCACAATCATCCCCTCTCCTTTTCATCTTCATTGACTTTATCTTTGTTGCTTTAAAATTAGTTTAATATGCCATCGGTATGTTTTAATAAATTGATTTAAAATTGTCAACATAAAAACTTATGTAAGGATTTAATATAGATTTCATATTCATTTTTTCTAAATCCCATTTATGATATATATATATATATATATATATATATATTAATAAATTAAATTAAATAATATTATTAATTTGTTTAACGAGATAAAGCAGTAAATCTCTTAAATAATGTTAAAAATTTAAATTTTGACATTATGAATGGAGCAATTGAGTTGAAATGGTCACCTTTATAAAATAATAGATCTTTACAAAATTCGATATGTTTTCATTAATCAATAATTTAAATACCAATATAATTTACCTAAAATAAAAAATTAAACAATTTTGATGAATCATACAAATTATAGTAATTTGAGACATTATATGAATGCAACTTAGGACAATAAATTTATTATATGTGTAAGGTATTTAGTATATGTTTTGAAATTTAAAAAATAATAGAGAGTTCATCATGTTGATGTGTGTTATGGAATGTGAAATGAAAGCTTGGTATTGAATAATGCCATAAACATAATATGTATATCATGTTAAGCCTTGTGCGAAATTTTATTTGAATGGATAGTACAATGAAAGAACTATAAAAATATCATTATATCCCGAAAATGAATATAAGTGTACTTTGTGTGATCAAATGAGAGTTTGGAGGAATATTATTAAGATTTAATATAAAAAATAAGTGTTTAAATTTTGCATCGAAAAACGTTTTAATGCTTATAACAAAAAAATGTTTTAATCTCTAAAGATTTTTTCGTTAAAATTAAGTGCCTAACGTTTACATCGGAGCAATTTCAAGTGCCTAATGTTTACATCGGAGCACTTTCAAGTGCCTAGACTGTAACGGCCGTTAAATTTGACCGTTAAGTGACACGTATTAAGCCCTAGTAATTTTGGGAATTTATTTTAAAAAATTTAAAAAATAAAATAATTTTGTATTAAAATAAGCAAATCACCCCGCATTCACATAATCGCCCCCTTCTTCTTTTTCTCCCCCTTCTCCCTTTCCACTCTCTCCCTTCCATGGTCGTCGTCCGGTCAGTCGTGACTATTACTGCCACTGTCTTTAGTCCCGACGTTGACTTCCGATCAAACCCTCATTGGCCTTTCGCTGTAAGCTACCATTGTTTTCCATGGAGAAGTGTTTGAAGGTTCGTCGGATTTTAAGGCACCATCGTTGTTTTTCGTCGATTCTGGCAATCTCGACATCCATAAGCCACACTCTCACTACCATTCGAACCACCGTGTAGTTCCGCTCAAAACCCATCCTCGTCCTCGCTCTGTCGGTGATCCTTTGACGCTCCATGGTTGGTAACAAGTTGAAATGAAATTTTTTAGTTTTTTAGAGTTATTTTATAATTTCATTAATTTTTGGGGTTCTTTTGTAAATAAATTAAGTTTTTTTATTAAAACTAATATTTTTAGTATTAAAAAGTTAAAAAATATAACAGGCACCTAAAAGTTTAATTGAAAAAAGTTAGATACCAATTTTTAATGAATATTTTTTTAAACACCAAATCATTTTTCGAGGTAAGTTTAGTAACTTATTTTTGTATCAAGGGTATGGATGTATAGATAATAAAAGAAAGTGTATAACTATGAAGTATTAAAAATATATAAGCAAAAAGTATTAATAGTAAATTTCACTGAAATAAAATCAAATTAATTCTTAATGTGAAGAATAAATGATAATGACCAAAAATAATAATTGGTTAGAAAGACAATATGTATATTCAAGTGATAATCTGTAATGTTATTTTATGAAGTTTATTGTGTTTTATGTCTTATATGATTGTTTTGTGTATTGATTATATTAATACACTCTTTCAAGATTTATTTTATTTGTTATTTTGTTTGCATGATTTTATGTTAAAAAATCGATTATAAATTGCATTATAAATATCACCTATCAGTCTTCAATAAAAATTGATGCACATACCCTGAACTTTTAGAAAATGTAATATATGGATGTCCCTTTTTCTCATATGTATGGGGTAAGGGGGAGGTAAGATAGTAAGTTACCACCAACACCAGGTTGAGAGCAGCTTCCGTAAGAGACTTTCGAATTATGAAATGCCCTCCGTGGGACTCGATCTCACGACCTCAAAGTTAAGAATCTTGTGCTCTACCAACTGAGCTAGATGGTCATTTCTTTTAGAAAATGTAACATATATTTAATATCTTAAAGATATTTTTGATATATGTATATACTATGTTATATTAAAGATACATGTGCTATGTTGATGGTATGCCAAAGTATACTATGATTGTATATGATTATATAAAATTATAATAATATGATATAAATTAATATTATTATGGGTAAATATGTGAAGAAATGCACGAAGTAATATGTTTGGATAAATAGAATTTGTATGTGTATTATTGCATTGATAAATGTCAAATGAAGGTTTTCATGTTATTGAAAAGAGTAATGCAATGATCATGTTACAAGGGAAGTATGTTATAAGATGTCTATTAATTGTATATCATATGAGATCAGATTATTTCACTTTTGTTACTGTTTTTTTTTGTCTCTCCTGATATTGTTTCGTATATAATTGATTAAATATAATTTATTAAAATATCATTAAATTGTTGATGATGAGAGAGAAAAATAATAAAATTATCACATTAGTATCGTCGAACATGTGATTAAAACAAAAATATAATATAATATCATGTATGGTTTTGAAAAAAATAATAGTTAAGTGATCAAAATTAAATGTAGGAATAAATTAGTGATTAAAATATATGGTTTATCCTTTTTTATGGTATCGGATTGTCTACTTAGTGTTTGAGCCATCATTGACTATTATTACCCTTGACCAGGTCTAAAACTAGAGAAGGCGAAAGAAACGTCCTTGGCTTAACGAAGATACGAAGACAAATGGCAAAAGTAACCGCGATTTCTCGTCTCGAGGGTAAAAAGAATCCAGTTTGAATCAACCTCCGGCAAAATCATCGTATTGTCCAGGCCAGGAACGGCGTTGGTAGTGTAACAACAAATCCAACACAGACTATTCGCGACGGTCGCCAGCAATGGCGGCTAAACCCCCCAAAATTTCGGCTCTGAACCCTGGTAAACTGAGTCCACGAGTTTGGTTTTACTCCTCTTTGCTAGCTCTTCAATACGGAGCCCTGCCGATTATCTCCAAACGCTTCACCAGGTCAATAATCTCCCTCCAAATGTTTTGATCTCTTAATTCTAGTTATTTACTTTCGATTTCGCTTCTAATTGATAACCTGTTGGATTCGGTTTTATTTTTGAGTGATCATTTCTTTGGAGTATGGTGGGAAAGTAGCGTGTCATGCGTATTTTTATTGGCATCAATTGCTCAAATGTATTCATGGTTGCTTATCTTTTATCTTGATGTGATCTTCGCGAATAAAGTTTAACAATGATGTGCAGGTTGAAATATATAAATAGGGCTATAAAACATTCTATTTATATGGTGATAGTTTTACCAAAGTAACTCCTAAATTAAAGCTACATACATAAAGAATAAAATCTATGAATTAGACACAAAAATCACCGAGATTCTGAAATCATTAATTACTAAGATCATGTAGAGAATAAGAGAGAATCAGTATTAGTGAACTCTAGATCATGAAAATGTCCAGGAAGATGTGTTCTACCGAAAATGCCTGCAGTCTGATCAGCTGAAGAAACAAAGATAAGATGCTGTGTTCCATGAAACAAGATGTTTCGCAATGTGTATGAAACATCTAAATCCTATAATATCCAACTCAAGTACCTCAAAATTATTATCAGTAGAGAGTCTATATTCAGGTTCAGTGCTTGATCTAGCAATGACAGTCTTGCTTTGCCAGGAAATAAGAGAACTTCTTAAGGATAACTATTACCTTTGATGTGTCAAAGGATACGCAGAACAACAGCAAAATGTGTAGTATGAGGAGCTTCCATTTATTGACTATCGACATGAATTGCATAAAAGATGTAAATTGTGTGAAAAATAAGATAAGTCCAAGTTAATATCTTATTATAATTGATACTTTTTTTCTTCTACAGACTAGAAGTAATTGTAACCTCATTAGTCTTGACATGTGAGGTAGCCAAGGTAATATTCCGAATGATTTTTCCTTTATTTCTAGCTCCTTTAGCATTTAAAAATATGAACTTCTAAGATCATTTGCTTTTGAACATGTTTACTAGGTTGTGTGCTCTCTTATTCTCATGGCAAAAGATGGCAGCTTAAAGAAACTGACAAAGGAATGGACTTTGATGGGTTCACTTACAACATCTGGTCTTCCTGCAGCAATTTATGCACTTCAAAATAGCTTGTTGCAGATATCTTACAGGAATCTGGATTCCCTTGCTTTCTCAATGCTGAACCAGACAAAAATCATTTTCACTGCCTTATTTACATATATCATACTGAGGTATCTTTCCCAATATGTCCTTTATCATTTTCTCCTTTGATTGTTCTCCATCGAAAGGAAATGCCTAGATTAGAGAATTTTGTACTGATCAAGTGGTTCCTATTATTGCTAGAAACTAGGTTTATGTTTAAATATTTTGCTCAGAATTCACCAATATGTCTATCTGCTTTGGAATTTTGGGATTTCCAAATGACTTAATTATTAATTATAACTTGTTTCTTGAATTTGATAGATCTTATAATTGTTTTTTTCCTTTCAAAATGCATCTTTTAATCAAAACCATCATGACAAAGACATATAGCATTTATTGACATGTACAAAATAGTAATGATATTTTGGGATATATGCGAGCTTATTTGGCCCAATTTTTGGTTAACTATGTAGTAATAGGTTGTCAATTCAACAAATTGGGGCTCTGTTTTTGTTGATCATCGCAGCTGTTCTTCTAAGCATTGGTGAAGGCTCTAGCAAAGGCAGCAGCAGTGGTGACCCCGAGCAAATTCTATTTTATGGAATTGTCCCCGTATTAGTTGCTTCTGCGCTCTCTGGTCTGGCTTCTGCATTATGCCAATGGGCTTCTCAGGTGAGAAATCAACTATTTTTCTGCTTTAACTGAAGGCTTCCCTATTTTCTTTCCGTTCCTTAAGGTTTTCTTTATTTCAGGTCAAAAAGCACTCGCCATACTTGATGACCATAGAAATGTCTATTGTTGGAAGCTTGTGCTTACTGGGTAGTACCTATAAGTCCCCCGATGGAGATGCTATCAGACGCCATGGGTTCTTTTATGGTTGGACTCCACTAACTTTGGTAATACTATTTTATTTGAAAATTTCTCTGAAGAATGTTAGGGATGTTTTTGACATATAATTAAGCTGGAAAAGGATAGAGTAAGGCTAGGTAGGGAATTTAGACTGTTTCTCTGTATTGGATGCCGTAACTTTATGTTGGCAATAGTTTCATGTGTTAACTGCTATGGTACATGCATTCTAAAGTTTAAACACAATTGCCTTTTTCTTTTTTCAGATTCCAGTTGTAGCCAATGCTCTTTGTGGTATTCTTGTTGGCCTTGTCACCAGCCTTGCTGGTGGTGTGAGAAAGGTAACCCCAACTACATAAAGTAATGGGGAGTATTGAAGCCTAGAGTAATTTTTAAAACTAAAAAAGATGCAGGTCAACATGGGGGCTCTGAATTCCGTATAATTGTAGATCATCAAGAAAAAAGAATATCAAGTTTAAAGTCATTGACCTTCCTTCTTAATTAGTAATTTTACCAGTCCATGTAAAGAACACAGATCTCTTCAATGGAGCATTAAAGCTAAAGATCACCCTTACTTTAATCCATATATATTTGTTGTCTGAAGTTATTGTTTGTACCACATTATCTTCTTAAGGACACACGTCAACAAAATTTTCTCAAATGCATGCAGGGGTTTGTCTTGGTTTCGGCACTTCTAGTAACAGCCATGCTGCAGTTTCTTTTTGAAGGAAAACCACCATCTGTTTATTGTCTTGTGGCTCTTCCGCTAGTCATCAGCAGCATTTCGATATACCAGAAATATCCATACCAAGTCAAAAAGAAAGAAGCCTAACAACCGGCAGGTAGATAAGGGGATTTCTCAGAGTTGCCTCAATTATTCAAGTTTCAATTTGTTTTCCCAGCATGATATGTTTTAGGATTTATTTATACTCGGTGGCTAATAGTATAGGCAAGGAAGAAGGCATATTATAGGTATACTTGCTTTCATGGACATTTGAATTGATTCTGACTGAAACTGGGAAGAGAAAGAACAAGGCTATGTTGTGTGGAGGGGAGTCCAAAATTGCATGAATTATGAAGTGAATAATGATGATGCATGTAATTGAGAAGTTGTTCATCATGGCTTGAATGACTGAATTGAACAAAGCAGTAAAAAATAAATAATATCATTTGTAACTTGAGATATGATTTGATATCTGTAAATTCTACTATATCATTTATAAGTTACATACCTAATATATCAACCATTACTTTACTACTTTGAGACACGTCGGTTTTTGATATGTCAAAGCATAGTCACATACAAGTAGTTCTACATTTACTTAGGATTAAAGAGAGCATATTTCAAACATCTCAAGAGAATTAAATACATAAAAATATTTTAGATTAATTCACCTTGAACTCAACCCAATGTGTTAATCTCAATCAAACACACACACACACACACACACACATATCTACTTAGGTGTCAACCTCCTCTGATAGCCAAGATGTACCATCTCCTCTTCGGACTTTATACAATATAAGAATCCTAACATGAGATAACTGCTTAGGGTGATTCCATGGACAATATACTTATTTATATTACCTTCTAAAAGTCTAATCATAAGTTGTCTTTTGCATTACAAATCAATCCTTATAATGTAATTCATTATTAGTTAAATCTTAAATCATTTGATAATCAATGAGTCAATATTTTCTTTCACTATTATTTTATATGTAATTCCACCATTTAAAACATAATGTGCACAATAAATAGATAAATAAAATAAATTTATTAAATTAACTAGTTTAGATTAATATAATAATTAAGTGAAATAATCATTACATTATAGACACAAAAATTCTAATAAACTATAATTAAAGACATTTAATTGATTGTAATTTTTTAAATGATGACTCATAATTAAAAACGAGGAATCAATTTTTTTTATACAATTAGAATGACTAAAAAGAAATTTTAGCCTAACTATAATTATAATTGTTCTGTATCTAAACCATTTTATAAAAATAACATTGTGGTGGTGCTACCGTGCTAGGGGTAAAATTGGAAAGACGAAACCGGTTCAAAGATTTTGACTTAGCCGTCCTGCTCGTCAAGGTTGGCTGTTTCTCCTGCTCTTTATATATATATATATATATATATATAAAGGGAATTAAACTCGATTCTGAAAGCTTTCCTTCCTTTTCTTCTCCTTTAATTTTTTTTCTCAAAAAAGGAAATCCATTTCCATCAATCATAATTATAAAAATAAGAACAACAATTTAGACATCATTTGTCTTCCATATTCAGATCTGAATCTCTGTCGTTTAGAATAAAAAACTAGAGAATAGATTGCAAAAATGGCGACGGTGTCCCCTCTGGCCAAATACAAATTGGTGTTCTTAGGCGATCAATCCGCTGGCAAAACCAGTATCATCACCCGTTTCATGTACGATAAATTCGACACCACTTACCAGGTACACTTTTCCATTCTTTATTTTTAACACTTCGTTGATTCTTACGGATTCAAACCAGATTTGACCGTTTCTCAAGTTCCTCTGATTCGTACATTGTTTGAATTTGATTTAGTTGACGTGTTCGAGGTAGACATTGATCCCTAGCATTAATCACGGTTTTAATATCATTATTTGATTGTGTTGTTGGATCTCCAACGAAATTATTTTAGTTTAGAAATGCTTGTTTCAATTGTACAAGGAATTATTATCAATTTGGTTTAACATCTTGAAACAGATTTCTCCTATTTTTTAGCCCATCATAATTGTTACGAACTCTTTGAATTTTGAATATCGTTACTCTAGATCATAGAATATGTGACTTGACTGTTTATTTTCCTTGATTATTGCTTTTTTAAGAATAATTTGCTCATGAGTTTTTGATATAAATCAATTGCAGGCTACTATAGGAATTGACTTTTTGTCAAAAACAATGTATCTCGAAGATAGAACGGTTCGATTGCAGCTTTGGTACTTCAGTTTCTTCCTCCTCTCTCTCTCTCTAACAATGTAATCTTGGATAACTCTGTTCAACGCCATATACAACTGTCTAACGGTTTCCATAAATGTTGAATGAATTTAAGCACGATTCTTGTGAACTGAAGGACGTTGTTTTGATTGTTTATATAGATTTTAGACTACAAATTTGTTCCAGAAAGCATTTGCTTTTTTTTGCAAGGCAGATGTAATCTGTTGTCAGCCGGTAAAAAGCAACATTTCTTGTCGAATCTCCCAGCATTTCCTCTTTTATGCATGCAATTAGGAAATGTGACAACTTTATGCTTGGTCGAACTTGAAATTTGTTATAGCAATTTAGTCTGCCATATTCAGTTTCTGATGACCAGTTTGAAGAGTATATTACCGCATGCTAATCTAATTTATTGGCTTATAAAGTTCATATGCTCTTCAAATTTTCAATTGTCCCATCTTCAATTGAGTTTTATCTATAATTTCACAGGGATACTGCTGGCCAGGAGAGATTCAGGAGTCTTATTCCAAGTTATATTAGAGATTCTTCTGTTGCAGTAATTGTCTATGACGTAGCTAGTGAGTATAAGCTAACCCCAGTACCTTTTTTTTTCCTTTTCTTATTTTTGATTTCATTAGATGACAGGATAATGGAAAGATTCCATAATTTAATGTATGATACCTCTGGTAAACTACTCTCCCATGATAGCCACTGGCATTAAATTGGAGTACGTTAACCTTAATTATTGTACATTCCTCACTCGGATATGTCCTTGCAGATAGGCAATCATTTTTGAACACTTCTAAGTGGGTTGAGGTGGTACGCACGGAACGGGGAAGCGATGTCATTATTGTCCTTGTTGGGAACAAAACTGATCTTGTTGATAAAAGGTCAGTGTTGAGTTGGAAAGCTCAACTTTTAGATCTGTTTTCCATGTCACTGGAAGATGATCATATTTGCTTTGTTTGGTACTTTTAGAGGGTTTAACACAAAAGCTTTTGAGTAATTCTTTATGCTGTTTCCATTTACACCGTTTGGCGATTAAACAGGCAGGTTTCTATAGAGGAAGGAGATAACAAGGCTCGTGAATTCGGAATTATGTTCCTTGAAACCAGTGCAAAAGCAGGATTCAACATCAAGGTGGAAAACCAAACCAAACAAAACTATTGGATAGTCGTACATATACACGTACAAATACCCGTAAATATATATGCATACATGTTTGTTAACTTGCCAGTTTTATCATGAATGTGAAATGGCAGCCTCTATTCCGCAAGATTGCTGCAGCTTTACCAGGGATGGAAACGCTTTCTTCGACAAAACAGGAAGACATGGTTGATGTGAACTTGAAGTCAAGCGGCAATTCATCCCAGAATACGGAGCAGCAAGGAGGGGGTTGTGCATGTTAAACTGAAAATGTGTCAACTAAACAAGAAAGGAAGCATTCAAGCATTTTACTCAACCTTCAAAATACACAAGCCAACTTAGCAAACACGGCAAAGGTTTGTCCTTCATTTTGTTCTTCCTATTAAGTAGAGTTCTAACTAGTATTTTGTTTTGTCTCGGAAAATACCTTATAGGATATTCATTCATTGGGATTGGGTTCTTTAATGTTCATATTGTTTTTATACAGATAATTTGTTTTTTATATTATCTTTCTGCAGATTATATTCTATATAAATGACATTGAAAATGAAAGCATTGTTCTGAAGAAATTGATTTCCCCCCTCTTTTTCACTAAAAATATGAATTTAAGATATTTATTGCTTTATTTTTAAAATTCGAGCTTGGTTCAAAATAAAAATCAATCTGATTGGACTTACCGAATTAGGATTTGTTTGTTTAAATAAAAAAAATGAATTTAATTGTTATGCTACAATCATTTATACCATAACTTAAGATTTTCTAATTTTTAGAAAATAAATAATGAATACATAGACACAACTACCTAAACTTAAGATCTTTCCTAGAGAACAATAACAACAAGAGTTACATTCTCTATTCTATTATTTTTATTTCTCCATACAACAACAAGAAGTCTAATGACTTGGTTGAGAATTTGCTGACGCTAGAAGAAAAGCTTTTTCTTTCCTGATTCGTCCATCCATTGCAATTTTATCATATCCGTCACAACACTGTTGCATAAAAAATCAAGTTTTTATGGTTCAACTTTTTTCCAAATAAAATATCATATTGTATTAATAATTAAAATGAGGGTAAAAAATTAAGAATAATGGTCACAAATTAAAATAAAATAACACACATGTATGTAAATAAAGGTAACAATAAAAAAGAAAACACATGTAATTTTCCGGTTAAGAATAAAAATCAAGCTATTTAATATTGCTTTAAAATCACCATTTAAAAATTCGACTGTTAGATTAAAATTATTGATTTGCTAATAAAACAAGTCACTCAAAATGGTCTCGAATCATAAGTCGATCAATTATCTGACAATCATCCTTGGGTGAAACAAATAAAGCCATTTGTTATAAATATGTTTATAATTATTGAAGATGTACACATATCATGCGTGTGGAATCTGACAGTTAAGTAATATTTTGTTATAAATAGTCAAATAGATACAGATTATACTTATTTTATAATTTTTTAAACTTTATGGTGAAAACATAAATATATTCAAATGTTAATGACCATTGTTTAGTTTACCCATTTTTTCATTTTGAAAAAAAAGGAGGATAAAAAAAGCACATCTATAATCTATATTCCGAGTGCTAAAACCCGAGAAAGAAGCGAGCTTACACTTGCAGGGGGAAAAAAGCCACGATTTCAAAACTGAATTCAAAGAAGCATATATGTTGAGCGTCTCAATTGCTTCACCAGCAACCTTAACTGTCCCTCCAAAACCCAAACCTTCAATCCCGAAAACCTCCTTCACCGGCGTCAGGATCCAGCACACATGTCCCCAACGGTTGCCTTCTCTGACGACATCGTTTCGAAGACCACCGCCTTCGTCTTCGGTGGTAATGATGGCTAAGCGAGATGAAGAAATGAAGGAAATAAGAGCTAAAACGACCGAGAAAATCAACGATGAAGTGGTTGAGTTGAAAGGAGAGTTTTTTATGCTTCGTCTTCAGAAATCGGTTCGTAATGAGTTCAAGTCCAGCGAATTTCGGCGTATGCGCAAGAGGGTATCCTCCCTACACACATTTTATTGTTTTAAATGATTTTCTCTTAACAGTTTAATTGAAGTTCAAATGGGATTTCAGAATCTGGGTATTACTTTAGTTATATTTTAAGTCTTAAGATATGGAGAATCAAATGAAGGGATATTTCGATTCACAAATCTCACAATTTTTAATATAGATTGGGCTGCTGAACTTTACTGAGAATCAAATGATTTTCTAGGTATGCATGTAAGTGCATGTGTATTGATTCATCACCTTTTTTTTGGCTACTACATTTGGTTGCCTATAAAGCTTTTCAAGTTTTATTAAGTAGGTTGAGAAATCAACTGCTTCTGTGTCTTTTTCCTCTCAAATTTTGGGTGGTTTTCTTTTGCCTGTGTTGTTTAGGAAACCAATGTTCTTATTGCCAAATGGCACCGATCCTCTTATGAAGTTTAAAAGGAAAGTTGTATGATTTAGGGCTTGGAAGGAGAGAGGGTGTTAAAACATTTTATCTAAATGGAGGAAATATTCAATTATTCATGGAAAATCATGCCTTGTTCGAAAGCTTGGAGGGGGGATTGTTGGCTTTGGTAGGCTGTTTTTCACGTATTTGTTGCCTTTAGTTGGTTACATGTTCTGTAATTATTGTTTTTCTTTTGTCAAACCAGAATTATTCATTGTCTATAGAGTAAGAGGATGGCTAAAGAGGACATAGATGGAAGCATATAGGACAGCGGTGTTTATGGAATGCTGGACAGTGTTGGAAACATGATATGTATTTCTTTAAGGACTGTGAGAAAATCTGGTTGTTGTTCTTGACAATGGCACGCCAAGATTTTGTGGTTTTATTTGTATTATAGTTCATTACTTCATTTAGCCGTTATCTTTGCCAGTTATTTTTTATTATGCCATTTCTTTATGTACCTGGGCTTTGGGATCAGACTTTTCAGGGCCGAAGATAATAAGTCTAAATATTGAGTGAAAGCAGAGATTAGCTAATGTTATGACAGTTCACTGATCAAATATCAAGATCACTGTTTGGAAAATTAGGAGCACTATTTGGACTTAATGTTAGAGGCCTTTGCCATTATCTTTTATTGGTTTACTCAATGACGAGCAATGCTTTGCCATTATCTCTGTTCCTTTAACATGTTATTGGCATTGCTTGATTTCTTAGATGATTGTAGTTTTGTTTCACCATCCAAAGAAAGTAGAAAAGTTTCTGCTGCGAAGATTTCTAGCTGAGAAAAGGACCCAGAAAAAGCAGCTAGTTTGGCTGGCTTTTACACTGCCTTTTTGTGCATGCTCCAGGCACAAAATTAAAGCCTGACCTTTAGTTATGCGTTATTGGTCTCTTTTGTGAAGATAATGGTACTTTTACGACTTATTTAAACTTCGAGTACGATATTGTAATAACAAAGAACGTGTTGTATCTTTATAGATTGCTTGCATGCTTACTGTTAAGCGAGAACGAGAGGTGGAGGAGGGTATCAACAAGCGATTGTCGAGAAAGCTGGATAGGCAATGGAAGAAAAGCATTGTTGTGAAGCCACCCGCATCTTTGATCAAGTTGAGAGAGCAAGAGGCAGCAGAAGAAGCTGAGAAATCCGCTGCTTGAATGAACCACTCTTAGATGCTTTGACATTTTCATGGCTTGCAGTTCTATTTTAGACCCATTTTGTAGGAGCATTTATTTTATGCAATGTACGAAGAAAAGGCTTTTAAGAAATTAAAACTGGTTTTATCTATGAATTAGAAAACAAGTAAGCATTGCCTTTCATTAGAATTGTAGGATTAAATTTCGTTGACAAATATAAAAAATTGGTGAATGATTGTTTAAAGTTCAGCCCTAATTAGGGGTGATAATTGAGTTGAACAACTCGTAAGCAGTTCGAGTTGATTTAATTTGACTCAACTCGAATTTGAACTCGACTTGAGACTTTAATAAATAGAATCAAGCAAGGACTTTAACTCAATAAGTTCACGAACAACTCATTATTATTTTTAATAATTTTTAAGACATTTGATTGTCTTGTTTTTTTAGGATTGATTATGTGTAGTTAAAATTTTCAAGAATAGTTGTAATATGTTAGTTTGGTGTGTTTGTGGATTGTTGTTTTGGTTGTAATATGTTAATTCGGTGTATTTGTGGATAGTTACTTTAGAGTTTAGGCTTCGGAATTGCTTCACACATTATTTTGATCATGTTATTTGTTAATTTTGTTAAATTATGTTTATATTAAGCTCTGTCTAATATTATTAGATTTTACTTATATTTTAAAAATAAAACAAATTTTGACGAGCTTAATGAAGAACGAGCAAGGCCGGTCCAATGAATTTTAATGCCCTGGACGAGATAATAATTTTATGCCCCTATATTTGTACCGTATAATAGACAAAACATAAATAATTTTTTTAAAACAAAAATGTAATAGAAATTATAGTCAAACAATATCAACATTAATACAAACCAAAACCAAAAAGATGAATATCCACCTAAGAGAAAAATCATATAGACAAATATTATTGATTGGGATCACAAAGAACATAGGAAGTCGGTCTTATAATTTTTCTATCATACGACTCCGTGGAGTACGATTTAACTCTTACGTAATGGTTGATTTTAGGTTTGTTTGTTTTACTATAAACGAATTTCTCAAAATTTATTATAAAAATTATTTCTTTAATTTCTCAAAATTTATTTCAGCAAAACAAACGAATTTTTATTGTGTTATATAAATTACAACTTCATCGCTTGGTTAGCTTAGTTATGCAGGCCTATATTAGTGGCTCAGTTAGGGTCACTTTGAATCACCGCCAAAATCTCGATAAAATTGGGCCAACGTCGTAAGGCGGGTTAATTACCTAGCTTAACACGGCATCGAATTTTTTATTTTAAAAATTACGGTATTTACTATAGTGATTTGTAACTCATTATAGTTATGAGACGAGTTTTAATAAAATATATTTTTTATTGAAACTTGTCATTTTAAAGACACAAAATCTAATAAAAATTATATTTTATTAAAATTTATCACTTTGATGTGACGAGTTTAAATAAAAAAAATATTATTTGGATAAACTCGTCATGTGAGTGTGACGAGTTTGTCGTGCACTGTAACATTTGATATAGATCCCAAAATAAATTTGGAAATGATCTAATGAACTAATTTTTTTAGCCGCATCACCTAATGGGAAAAAAAACCTTTCTTTGATCATTGTAAGCTCAATCTATGGTCACTGGTTCAATGACCTCAAGTTTACTAAAATGACTCGTTCG